GAGCTTTCTTGCTGCTGTTGTAGATCCATCTTGTTTTAGATCTCTTGCTTTTTATCAGGGGGGGGGGGTCTATTCCATGACTGCCTTGGTCTACCTGCTATCACTACTTCTTGCTATGTCACCAGCCCATTTCCATTTCAATACTTCTACTTTCTTGATGATATCATATACTTTCTATATCCCCCACAATGATGTAGATCTCTCTACATCATACCTGCAACTGGAATTGCATTGGTGCCACAATTCAGTAGAGATTTTAATAGGTGGTGGGCCATTCACCCCATCTTAATGAGCAAAAATCTGTCCAAAATTGCCTGAGGTCAAGTACAGCTTCAAAAGTTTGTTATGATGAAAAACATACAGCTGTAATCTCTGGGTTTTTTTTTTTTTTTTAGAATTCAGCTTATAAGACTAGATGTAGTCATTTGTTGCCACAATCTTCTCCCTCCTTCACTCCTTCAGGTATTTTTTGCCAGTGTTAGACTTGCTGGTTGCATTCAGTTTTATAAGACAGTACTAATCTCTGCTACATAAAATGTTCTGTTTGATGAGTGTATTTTTACAGCTTCTTGAATCAAGTAAATGTTGGAAAAAAGGTTTCTTGGGTTAATGTCACACATTCACATATGCTTGCTTGGTTAATATTAGATAGCTGTGAAATAAAAAAAAATCTGCCCCAAAGTGGCTCTTTTACAAAACGTGCTGTGACAAGGTGAACCTATTCACAAATGGAGACAGAAGTTCAGCATTGCTTTCTTTCAGACTGTGTCTGCACAAATTAGTCTTGCAGAAGATATGGTAGCAGTAGTAGCAAACTTTTCTAAGTAGTTTACAGAGTCAACCTGTTGCCCCTAACAATCTGGGTCTTCATTTTACCAATCTTGGAAAGGATAAAAAGCCGAACCTTGATCAAATTCCTGGCAGCGGGCGGTTAGCCTATAATACTGCATTTCAGCCACTGCTCCATGGCTCCCATTGTAGTTAAACTAGTGCAGGGGTGTCAGGCATGTGTGCCTCCCCCCACCCCCCCACCCCCGAATCTTGTTTTTGCCCTCCATGGCCTCCTGCAGCATTCTCCCAGCCAAAAACAAGCCCGCATGAAGTCCCTGTGAGGCCCATTTTCGGCCTTCCTGGCTTCTAGCAGCATCCTGCTGGCCAAAAACTGGCCACGCGGAGGCTTTGCAAGGCATCTCCACAGCCCATTTTTGGCCAGCAGAGTGCTGCAAGAGGCTGTGGAGGCTGAAAATGGGGCACTGCATGCAGTCCCCCATGGCCCATTTTGACCAGCAGAGGCCCCGCGGCTGTCCTTTGATATTTCCAGGCTGGCCCTGTGGGTCAGATTTAAGCTGGCCCGCAGGCCCTGAGTTTGACACCCTTGAGCTAGTGTGTATCTGCAAGATAAAGATTTCAATTAATGTTCCTATTCCTATAAGAATTATTATTTTAAGAGAATAGTTCTGATACCTTGCATTTTGAAGAAGACAGGCATGCATATAGCATATGTAGGTTAAGTACAGTAGACTGTGATTCCTACTTACTTTAGGAGTTCTGAGGGTTTCCTTATTTCTTGCCAAAAGTGAAACATATTCAGATTAGTGAGTGAATGTTTTCTTTATTTCTATACAGCCAATCTCTTGTTCTTTTTTTTCTCTCAGAAAACACAGAAGAAACTGCTTCAGGCTTAAGTGAAGAAAAACCCCTGCCAGCTGCGCCTCTACCTAGCCCAGTAGCTCCAGCACCTGCACCATCCAGGAGAAATCCACCAGGGGGAAAGTCTAGTCTAGTGCTCGGTTAAGCCCAATTTTCCTTCACTCCTTAATACTTGGAACCCGTGTCTGTCATCTTTGTTTTTCTTCCATGCTTGTGAACTGCACAACTTGAGCTTGACTGTATTTCTAAAACTACCATTAAAGGAGCACTTTATGTACTTCATATTTTTTTGTTTTGTTTTGTTTTCAGCCAATCTTTCCTCAAACTTCTTCTCTTGTCTCTCGAGTCTAACAGAAGTGACATGTGTAATTTTTTTCTCTTGTAATGGTATACAGTGGTATTTGCTACACAGCCCATGGCTGAAAAAAAGATTTCTGCGTTATATAGTAGTGTCTGAAACTAGGCTGGATTAATTCTGAGTGTGCTAAGTGGCATTTTTGTCCTAAAATTTGTAGAACAGTCTTAGTTGACTTAGAAGGGTTGGAAATTGGGATTGTACAGGTAGTGGATGGGTGACAAATGTACTCTTTCTGTACACAACTGCAACTTATTTTTCCAAGGTACCATTCAATAATTGGTAAATGATTGAAACCCTATTGTGCACTGAATTATCAAGTTGTGATGCTAGAAATTAACTATCCTCCCTTCAACAAGTGGGATCTTGGTTCAGACATAACCAAGATAAGGTGGATGCTGAAGATAAACCTAAAGATGTGAGATTTTGACTGTTCTCTGAATATCAGGTCCCACTGTAAATGATGATAGAATGCATCTTACAAACGTAAGTATTAGTTGGATAAAATTTTGGGGACACATTCCCCGCCTAAATGACTCCAGTACTATGCATGATTATGCTGGTGCTTAAACAGAAGGTGGAGAAACTCAGCCTTCTAAATGTGTATTGTACCTTGAAAGCTGGATTGTTGCTAAAAAATAAAAGATATAGAAATTTTGAATCTGTGTCAGAGCCTTATTTTCAAATTTACTTGGTTTGCTGCTTGAATAATTTCTGAAATGAAAATCCAAAAGAGAAAATGCATGGGCTTTTAAAATAGTTTTATAATACAGACAGATGTTTTATCAATGGAAGTAACACTGGTGTGCAGTTTGAGCCCTTCTCACTATTGGCATGGTCAAAATAATGTGTCTATATTTTGTACTAAAATATCTCTGCATACAGGAGTGGAGGACACATATTTCTTGAAAATAGAGGGGTTTTATGATAATTTTTCTCAAATATTTTTAAACATTACATAAGCCTAACATATATGTTCTTATTACTATATGAAAAATCCAGTGTGTAAGGGTACCTCAGGGCAAATTCTGGAATTTGAAGTCCACATATCTTCAAATTACTAACTTTGTAAAAGAAGAGAAACCAGAAAAAAGGATGAAAGTTCCACAATTCAGAAATTTCTTTTTCTATATCCCAGCCACAATTGCCAAGCTGTTTTGAAGCAGAAAAACATCACAATTTCTCAGTACTTTGTTTTGACTGCATTGGTTTGCTTTGGGCCCATCAATTAACCATCTCCCAAGCTATGGGATAGGGGTTGATATGGTTGGGGATTGCACACTGGGTTTTTTTTTAACATTGTTTCATTTAACTTGGGGAGATGTCCAGAATCTTCGGAGTTCAATAAATTCAATGAACAGTCCACTATATTCTGGAACTCCTGGCTCGGATATATATATTTTTTTACACTGCAAAAAAATCTTTATTTTGGTCTTTGATTCATGTGATATAAAAATAGCTATGAAATTAACAGTTATAACATTAAAGCAATCTGGCTAAATTTGTAAGGACAATGACTATGGATTTACAAGACTGAGATAACAAGACCATAAAACATGTTCTGTGCTATCTAAAAAGGCTATAATAAGCTGTGGCAACAAAAGTATTGTACAGCTGAATAACTGGAGGGTAAAAACAAGCAACATAAGCTGTATGAGACCGAGTAGTAGCTGGCAGTCAATAGTTGCCTGCTTCTGTTTTCTCTTTGTTAGGTTAAACATGCCTAATTCCTTTAGCTGTTTTTATAGAATATAGCCTCCAGATCCCTTGTTTTTATTGCTCTTTATGCTCTTTCCAGGGCCTCATCATTTTTATACTGTGTTCAGAAATGGATGCAATACAGTATTTCAAAAGTGGCTTCACCAGTGCAGTATAGAATAGTAGTATCACTTCCATTGATCTTCATAGTGTCCGTTAATGCAGGTGTTGCAAATATTAATTCACTACTACAGCATCCATCACAGAATGTCTGAACTCTGAATATTTGGATTATGCAATGGCTGTATTTTGGATATGACAAAATTGTATTATATAGACTTTCCCCCCCAAAAAACATGGCAACTTTAGTGTGGAACTTCAACTCCTCAGAATTCCTCAGGGCAAATTCTGGAATTTGAAGTCCACACATCTTCAAATTACCAACTTTGTAAAACAGGTACAGACCAATGTGAAGTTGTACAGTATACAGATTAGGGTAAAATAGTGCACTATTCTGTACAGTATAGCGGTGTTTCTCAATCTTGATAATTTGAAGATACTTGGACCAACTCCCAGAATTCCCTAGTTAGTCTGGCTAGCTGAGGAATTCTGGGAGTTGAACTCCACACTTTTTCAAGTTGCCAAGGTTGAGAAACTTTGCTGTATAGGGATTCTTTCCATGACTCATTCTTACACATGTGGTTGATTAATTGGCCAACTTAACTCTGACTTTTGCATCAGATTTTGTGTTAACTCAGATAACCGTAGTTTCGGATGGAAACCATCTAAAAGTCATACAAAATCAGGAAGACACGTTTGACTTTAAAGATGAAACCCAGACCTTAGCAAAATCAAAACTGCAATATCACAAAATAAATGTTTATCTGCTTTGTCCAATTATTTATCGGTTGATACCGGCTGATTTTTTTAGGTAAGAAATACTTAAACAAAATTTTAGGATTAAAACTGGGAAATCTTTACCTTTTGATGCTGCTATTTACACAAAGTATACTTGCGTTCCCTTGAAACTAATCAAGGTCTTATATATATGTTATATAAAGTCGTCTCGTGGAATAATGCGTTCTTTAAAGGCTCGGTAAATTAATCTCAAACGGGACTCCAGTCGAGGCCAATTCCTTCTGTCATCGATGAAAGGGTTCGGATTTACTCCTTCCCACGAGGTTCTTGGTCGTTTCCCGCCCGAGCAGAGGGTTGGACTAGAAAACCTCCAAGGCCCCTTCCAATTCTGCTTCTTCCAGCTCTTCCCGCCTTCATTTGCGACCCCGCGTTTGAAAAGTTCCTTCGCCCTTCAGTACCGCGATTCCATTGCGCCAGAAAAAAAAAATCGGTTCTTCCTCGATCCTCTTGCTGGCCTGAATTGAGGACTTGGGGGCGTCGCCGCAATCTTTTTGCCGCTTGGAAGACATGGCCGGCGGCGTGGCTCCCTCGCTCCGTGTGCTGGTAGACATGGACGGGGTTTTGAGCGACTTCGAGGGCGGGCTGCTCCGCGACTTTGTCGCTTCCTACCCCGGGGAGCCTCACGTGGAACCGGCGCAACGAAAGGGCTTTTCAGCGCAGGATCAGTACCGTCGCCTGCGGGAAGACCTAGGGGTGAGCTTCTGCTAGCTAGATCCCGGGGTAGGAGGAACTCTGGATCTCCTTTCCCCTCCGCTCGGTTATTCCTGCATCTGAAGGAGAACCGGCAGAAATACTGTGATAGAGAGCAGGTCTCAGGTTTTCTCTCTAGCATTTTTTAAAATCGTAGTTTCTGTTCATACCGAGATAAACATCAGAACATTTAAGGGGCTTTTACAAAAAATCTGCTTTGAAAATATTTTGGAAGATTTCCTAAGCAAAGCAAACACAGATCTGGTGTTTCTTAACGCCACCCCAACTTTGTCAGGTTTCCACATCTTTTTGTTGTTGTTGTTTTAAGGAATCATTCATCAATCCACCTCTTAAAGAAGTAGCTTTTTTTTTTGAAGCTAGCAAAAGACTGCAAAATTTGAGCTGCTCTATTGAGCACCAAATTATTGCAATATGCAAGGCCCAAAGCAGTTTTGCCTCTAAATGAGTAGTGTACAACTATTATAGTATTAAGAGGCAGGGAAGAGCATTTCTGCAGTACTGTACAGGTAAAATCGGCAGCTTTAAAGTTTTAAAATAAAGTTTTAGCTGAAGCATTGTAAATTTGCTTCATATTGTGAGCTTTTAATTGGTGGAGTGCTTAAGAGTACAATCATATCATTTTTAAAAGCACAGTATTGGATATATAAAATTCTGCACTTTTGTTTGAGAACTGATAAAAGCTGTTGCTTCACTGCTAGCGTTAGTCTGCTGTAAACCTTCCCTTCTAACTTCAGCAGGTGGCAGCCTCTGGCTCTCCTTCTCTGGGTTTGAAAGCTGAGCAGTGTCATCTGCTTAGGATTTAAATCAGGGGCTCCCATGGCTGTAACTAGACTGGGAAGTCAACCCTGGGTTCTTAGGTGCTCTCCCATATCTTCATTTCTGCTAGGAGGTGCAACATTTGCCTTTATACTGAAACAGGAAGAAAAATCAGAACAGGTTTGTAGTAAACTTCCTTCCTGAAGCTTTCAAGACCACAAAGTAAAGGAGTTTGAAATCATATCCTGAAGGACAAGTGGCAATCTCTCTCACAGTCAATTTTGTCCAAATTGACACAAAAACTTTTGAGAGGAGAGAAATATGCCTGTTTTTTGTTCTTAGTTGGGCATCCCTTTGATACAGGAACCACACAAATTGCCTATGGTACCCCTCTTTATAATATTTGCCCTCTCCCTTCCAGCAGTCCTAGGCTGTTTTCTCAGAGGAAGTCAAAGGAAGGAAACTGTCTCTTTTCTCACCTATACCTTGGATCAGATCTCTGATACTCTGCAATCTTGAGAAGTGGCATCAGCAATTAGTTCAACAGCTGGCTGGCAGGAACCAAGCCTCTGCATTTCGGGGCATAAGTGGCATTACCCAGACAGCAAGGAAAGTGTGAGGAATTCCCTTCCACATCATAGTTTGGTGTGTGAATGCAGCTTGATGCAACCCATACATTTGTTACTAAAAAGATGAGTGTTCTCAATCTTGGTGACTTGAAGATGTGTGGACTTCAGCTTCCAGAATTCCCCAGCTTCAATTCTGGGAGCTGAAGTCTACAGATCTTCAAGCCACCAAGTTTAAGAAACACTGCACTAACAGGTTATCTATGTATGCCTAGTAATCCTTCTACTGCTTATTCATTCTAATAATTACAAAGCAGTTATAGCTATTTACCTAAGCTGTATTTTGCAAAGTTTGAGAATCATTTTAGTGTCATCCCTCAATTACAACAGTGTTCTTCACTTTTCTAAGTTTTTGAGTAAGGAACAGATTCAAGAGTATAAACTTAGTTTTATTTGAAAAAGAACGAGATAGAAATATAATCATGACAGTCACGCTAGCTGCTTTAAATATCTTGCACCAATGACCCATTCTTAATTTCTTGCTTTAAAAAACAGCTTGGCCTTTAGTACTACTTACCTGACACCTTGGAACATGGTTTGAAATGAACTTAAAACATGACATCTAGTTTCTTTATATGATTTTTAAAGCTACCTGGATTTTAAACAATTAAATTGTCTTAACCATAATTCTAAATATGCTATTTTTTTAGGACAAAATAGCCAGTATCTATGAGTCACCTGGCTTTTTTCTGAGTCTGCAGCCCATCCCAGGAGCTATTGAAGCGATGCACGAGATGATTCAAATGCCCAAGTAAGGACCATTTGACATTAAGAACATGTCAAAGCATACATTTTCTTCTTGTAATGGGGATTATCTTGTCTTTTCAGCACTGAAGTTTTTATTTGCACAAGTCCTATACGAAAATACGACTACTGCGTTTCAGAAAAGGTTGGCAATTCTTCCCTCTTAAACTCTTACCATGCAAAGCACCTATCAATCAAGATGAAGGATTCTGTGTGTTTAAAACTCTTTTCTTTCTTTGGTTTTCTTTCCTTGCCTCATCCCTGGTCAGTGGTTAATAACAAGACAATGTCAGAACAGGTTTGGGTGGCTTTCATACCATGCCTCGGCTTTAGTTCTTCTGAGATTACAGAAAAGTTCTGTCTTAGTCCAGGGTACTAAACTCTTAAGAAGATTACTAGCCATTAAAATCCAAATCCTCTATTGCCCTATACAAACTGAAATCTTGCCATTACAAAGCCGCTAAAGAGATACATCCTTTTGAAGAAAAAAAATATCAAGTATATTTACTCCTTAATAAACAAAATATACTCCATTCATCAAAACATTAATATGGTACTAATCAGAAAGGGTGGCTGTTTCAAAACAACACAGGTCATCTGCACAGGCTGCTGCTATCTGATTTTAAAACTTGTAAGTGGTACTTGAGAAAGGATTGTATTGTCCAATAGTTTATACATATGTTTATACATATGCATCTTATGAAATATGCATAGTTAAGATGCTGAAACTTAAAGGCCTATGTTACTTGATTCATGTAGTAATTTCCTAAGTTTGTCACTGCCACCTAGTTATGAAAGACTTGTTTTATTTTCTTCCATCCACAATATTTATCAATTTATTAAGAGTTTTATGCCGGGGGACTTCTGGTGACACTTCCGTCGAGGACGGACAGAGACCGCAATTGTGCGCAGCTTTGATCCAGGCTTACCCTGTTGGAGGGGTCCCTACGGAACCGGAACCATCAGACCCACCTTGGAGGGGTGGGGGAAGAGGGGAAGACCCCCAGCTGGGTTGAGGGGAGTTGCATCTCCCCTCCCTGGCTTGATATACTCCCCTGGAAGACAGAGAGAAGCGGCAGTTTTAATGGTTGCCCTGAAGAGGGGAAGCTACCAGGACCTAAGTGTGTGCTGGAGAGGTGAACTGGTGAGTGGCATGTATCCAGACAAGAGAAGCTGAACCTTTTGTTTTAATAACCCCGAAAAGCAGAAAGACTCCTCACTTGAGAGTACAATAGCGGTGAATAGAAAACAAGAGGACAATATAAGGTAAATAAAAAACTGGACTACAAAAGAGCTATAACCAAATTAAGGACGGAATTGGATTGAAAAAAAGGGGAAAAAAGAACTTTGAAAAGTGGAAGTGATATAGAAAACTTAGAGACTGGTAAATGTGTAAAGATTTATAATGTAGTGCTTTGCAAAATGAGCAAAGACCTTTGAATGTTTGGAGAGTATCAGCAGCTTGAGATATAGTCCAAGCATTGTGACTTAAAGCTACATAGGATAAGTCTCCTAATGTCTTATAGTAAAAAAAAAGCTTTCTTGAAAGCTGTAAGTACCTTTCTTCTAATAACTGCTTTATCATCACTTGGCAGTATATATGGGTCGCGCAACACTTGGGTCCTAAATTTGTGGAGCGACTAATTCTGACTCGAGATAAAACAGTTGTTTCAGCTGATCTGCTCATTGATGACAAGGACACCATTAAAGGTAAGAGGATCTGTGCTACCACTTCAACTTTACCTCACAGTGCTGTATCATTTGGTTATATTTTTAATATCCTTTCCAATTCTTCTCAGGGGTAGAGCCAAATCCAAGCTGGGAACACATCTTGTTCTCCTGCTGTCACAACAAACATCTAAAGCTACAGCCGCCACGGAGGAGACTTGAATCTTGGACTGATGACTGGAAGGCAATACTGAAGAGCAAACGTTCCAAGTGAAGCATAAAGAAAAGAACATTTTATTTCTCAAAGGCTCTGGGAAGTATTTGCTGATCACCAATCCCAACTGGAAACAGAGACATGCCCTTCAAGTCAAATGATCCATATGGAAATAGGATTATATTTTAATTCTAAATGCGCTTGAATGATCTGAGTTATTAAAATGTTAAACCCTTGGATGGAATGATTGTTATGTTTGCCAATTAATTAAATGAACAAAAGAGCTCTAAAAATGTAAGACAACTCTTTGATTCATTATCTTTTTCCCCCTGCTACTTACTGAAAAATAAATCTCAAGACCATGTATTTCTATTCTTTCAGCTCTCCTCTACAGTCTACAATAGTTACCAAGGCCCTTTAACAACAGGATTATAGCAACTGGTTCATATTTCTAAATAAATATGAACTGAAAAGCACAAAGGAACCCATCCATTCTAAAAGTCCACTGTATGTTTCCCAAGGAAACTCTCAGGATTATTTACAGTCATTTTTAAAACAGAATACCTATAGAGAATTCTTTCTCTTTTCCTCTGGGATGTGTGACAGGAAAGAACCTTGCTCCTCCTCATTCAGGGAGGATCTTGCTGGCTGCCTCCTGGGCTGCATTCATCCTTGGGCAGTGGAATCCCAACTGCTGAGTGCCTGGTTAGGCTCCTGGCCTGCTCCACCTGAAAGGGGCTGCAATAATCCTCGAGGAAAATAGTGGCCAGGTTTTTCAGCCTTCTGTTGTTTGAGAGGGAGAAGCGCAGCATGCACTCGATCACAGGGAGGGTGGTGATATCTTGGCGGGACTGGGGTGTGAACAAGTACATCAGAGTTGTAACTGCAGACAGGACTGTCTCTTCATTGGTACTTGCCAGACAGTTGACAACAGCTGACACTCCACCAGCCTCTAGTATATAGTCTTTGTTGATTTTGTCCAGGCAGAGATTACAGAGTCCTCCTGAAAAATAAGAGAATGAGGTGATAAAGATAGTAACAGGGTGGTTTGGTTCATTTCATTTTAATAACAATGTACAGTTCAGTAGTTCCAAGACAACTTGGTCTCTTGTTTCTGTCTGTAAATGGTTTGGGGCTAAATCTGATACAAGTACAGTACTGAACTGCTCATTTGGTGACCATTTGAACTTACAATGACTGTAAAAAGCAGTATTGTGACTGATCCTTGGAAGTTGCAGCCATCACAGAATCCTGCAGTCATGTGGTCACAATTCAGGCCCTAGACAACCATCATACATTTAGTTTAAAATGTGTGATCACCATTTGCAGCCAAAGTCAATGGGGAAGCTGGCAGGAAGTCACAAGCCCTGGTCACATGATATTCATATATCTAAACAACCATGGGTAGTTCACTTAACAGCTGCAGTCGGAACTGATGTTGTAAGTTGATGTATTCATGTGATGTTTCACTTTACGACTGTGTGGTTTAGCAACAGTTGTCAGTCGTAATTGCAGTTGGTATCCGAGGTTTACCTACAATATATAGTATAAGCAAACTTGCAAGCTATTTATATGAATGATATCCATCAAAAAAAGCTTTCAGGGGGTGTAAAAACATCTGCATCCACAGAATCCTTACATTGGGAAGCTTGAATGAGCATGCTGAGATCTAAACTGAGACAACCATTACTCACCAGTCACATATGGTCATACCTACCAGTAGAATCAGTCATAAATACTGCCCTGTCAAATGGGAAGACACAGCAGAGAAGGACCAAATTTCCTCAGTTCAAATGACCAACTTATAACAAAGATACATTCAGAATCTTAAAAGTCATAAAATACTGCTTGTAGATTTTATATACAGATTATGAGTTTGTGCAAATGTTTGTGAGGAAGAACAAAACAGTACACCTCCTGAATTTGGAATTTATAACATCAGAATTATAACATAGTGTCCACATTTGGAAAAACTTGTATTTGCAATCTAGTTTGTAAATACAAGTTTTTCCAAATGTGTACGCTATTTTATAATACATTTATAAATATGTACATTTGGATTTTTTTGGCCAAAAGGAGGAAAGGCAGGTAAGAGAAATGATGTAGAGTTGACAAGCACCCTCTAAGAGCCAATATAGTTTATGTTTAACTATTTTGACATTGGCAAAAGTTCCTCTATGCAAAAAAATACTGAATAGTTTCCCCTTTGAAAAATCCTACTTATTTTTCTAAAGTTGGAATTTTATAACATGCAAATGTTTTATTAAAAAATTAAGTAATCTACATAATTAGTTTCAATTGCACTCGATTTTGTTATGAAAACCTTTTCTTGCAAATAAACTGGTGAAGGTAATCGAGAGAGAGAGGGAGGGGGAGGTAGAGAGAGTTGATGATTTAATATAACCTTCCTCCCTCCCTCCCTCTCTTTCACACATACACACACAAACACATAGAGGCAGGGGTGGGATTCAAATTTATTAATAGCTGGTTCTGTGGGCGTGGCTTGGTGGTCATGGCTTGTATGTAAATATTATAAATATTTATATAAATATTGAATTTTTTATAAAAAGAGAGCAACTTTTACCCAAAATCAGGCAAAGCAGGCAGGTAGATTGAGTTGCTCACAGAATCACAGATCATTCAGAGATCTATCTGCCATTGGCTAGCTGAGTCTGTCACATAAAATTTGCTTGCAAGCAAACTCATAGCAATTGCTAGCAAGCGAACTCACAAAATTAACTCACAACACACCATGTATGTAAATATTGGGTTTTTTTTAAAAAAAGAGCAACTTTTACCCAAAATAGGCAAAGCAGGCAGGCAGGTTGCATTGCTCACAAAATCACAGATTCACTTAGAGATCTGTGTTTCTGCCATCAGCTAGCTGAGCCTGCCCTGCTTCAGTCCTAAGGAAGGTTCAGCTCTGCTTTTAAGCAGAGCCGAAGATCTAAAAATTAGCTAGAAAGCAAGAAATCTAATGATTTCCTGCTTTCTAGCTAATCTAAATCTCCTGGCATAGCACAACAGTAGATGGTCGGAAAAAGGAAAAATAGCAATTTAGCAGGAAAGTTTGCCGGGTAAGGAGTGAATGAGCGGGGAGGGAGGGTTATGTGGGCGGCACAGCCTTGTGTTCCTGTGCAGCCTGGATTAATTGCTTTGGGGGGGTGTTCTGGGGTGACATTTCTCTGCAGACCACCAAAATTTTCTCACCGACCACCAGTGGTTGGCGATCACTGCTTTATATTACTGCTCTCAGCTGTACTCTGGGTTATGTTTGCTGGTGTATTTTGGTAGCGTCCTCTTGCTGTTATTTTCAAAATCTGTTCAACCTACTTCCATACCTTTGCCAGAGAGTTAGTAAAGCAAAGATGAGGAAACTAGCCCTTCTACTTCTCTGATCATTGCTTATGCAGGGAAAGGCTTCTGAAACATTTAGTTTAGCAGTAAATTACATAATTACAGGTTCTTCACAGCTTAAACTGAAGACAGTTGAACACTGCAATGGAAAAGGCTAACATCCTAGCTTCTCCTATGTCCTATAACTATTGAGAAATGGTTCTATTTCATGGAAAATGTTGAAATCCAGGCCTTACCAAGTGCAAATTCCACAAGATTTTCATTGTCCTCAGTGAGCATGTCCAGAAACAAATCCAAGACCCTGAGCTGCCGCAGATATTCATAATTTTGGGGATCATAAGCAAAATTGGCCAGATTAGCCAACACTTGCTCTTTGGCATCTGCAACATAAATAAAAGAATTCAATATTTAAAAAGCACCTGTAAAAGTCAATGTGGAAGTACAAACTGTCCAATAAATTATACTCACCTGAGCTATCTGTCACTTGGAATTCAGTGACTAAGGCTTGCAAGTATTCAAGCCGACCCAGGCCTACTTCCTTCTGATTTTGGGACATAGATGCTAGATAAATAGAAGACTAAACAGTATTAAGAACATCAGTTGGTGTTATGGCTTGTATCAATACTTATTATAAATGTATGCATTTCAATTGTCCCAGTGTATGTTATTCAATACCATCTTCAAAAATACCAGAGTGGTATATAAAAACATTGCTAGGTAACCATGCACAATAACACTTAGTAATAATTTTAACAAATATTATATCTTCTCTTCCAACAGGTTAAATGTGACTGATGGCGCTTGTTTGATTTGATTTGATTTTTAGAGTAGAGTTTCCAATTCTTTTTGCTTTTGTTTAGGATCTAAATTTAATTAATATCTTCAGATTTAGAAGGTTTATTTAATATCTTAATTAAATCTTCCTTCCACGTGGATTACAGCAAAGTTGAATTTGCCAAATCTTAGCATATAGCACATTTCTCCTAAACTAGTTGCACTGTTGTAATATAAAGAAGACTAATTCTGCTCCATCACTGTTTCAAAATATGATTGTAAATGTATGCTGATATTCCAACAAATCACAAAGCCATGCGTCAAGCATTTGATTATAGTACTGGCGTTAAAGTTACTTACAAGGATGTAGGGTCACTTCAGGAGGATCTATTAACTTGTTCTGGGAATAGCCACTGATGAATGTTTCCTTTAACAATACCCCATTTAAAATGCAAGCATTGCCACATATTTTATTTATTTGTATCCCATCTTTATTTTTTTTACAATACAGCAACTCAAGGTGGTGAACATATCCAACACATCTTCCTTGTAATTTCCCTACAACAACATCCCAGTGAAGTGGGTTGGGCTAAAAGAAAAAGGAGTGATGCAAAATCACCCAGCCTGTTTTCATGGCTAAGGCAGAATTTGAACTCAAGGCCTCTCCAGTTTTCTAGCTGTTTGTTAACCAATTGTTAACTTGTTAAAATGTTAGCTCCAAAAATGGATTCGGTTATAACCTAACTATAAGACCTAAGGATCTTATTTCTTCATATAGGCAACTTGATAATAAAAGTATCTTCGTTTGCATATTTTTCGCATATAAAAAGGAACTACAGTAATCATCAATACTACATTCGTGAGTGTAATATACCAGGGTCTTCTTGTTGGTCCAAATGGCGTCACGTAAAAGTCCCGAAAAGGAAACGGAGCCACCGTTTCTTCCACCTGCTGGATTTCCCGGATTCTCCAACTAGGCGCCTCAAATTCCATCAATTCTGGTGGGGGAAGAGGGGAGGAGACAAGAAATCAAAACAACATCCCAGAGAAGACCTGCAAAGTTAAGTTAAAGCTAAACAGGAAGCCGGAAGTTACGTTTAGGGACAAGGGGAA